CCAGCCAGTTTTGAGAGGCTCGTGTACCACGGTGTGTCATACGCCATCTCATTGTTCCGCACATTGTCGACGTGATATGGGTGTGCAGGTCAATCGATCCGATTTATCGGACGCTCAAACTCAGACCAATTCGGGCCACTCATTATCAAATTTGAGGTAATTTTGTTTTCGGGGTTACGCGCCATCCTCAAAACTTTTTCCATCAACGCCAATGAGACTCTGCGGATCAGTACAGTTGGACACTAGTGTACACTCACGGGGAAGAAAGACAGTTGCAGTTGCCGCGAACTATCATCCTGCCCCATAGTGAAACGGTTTTGTTTTCTGTCTTTCGGTTACCCGCATAACCAATTGATGAGGAGGGAATTAACAGGATAGGTAAATGTTTAGCAGAGTGCGAAAGTGGGGAAAAAGTAAACTGCGCATCTGTGTAGGTGAGTATTAGTTGCAGTAGCTCTGCTGTTTGGGACACAGCCATACCAACAACGACCCTTCACCTGACTTGTAGCGTACTAACAGAGGTGAAAGGGAAAGGATGAAGAAAACGTATGACTTAGCTGGTGGGTCATGACCACCTGTCAGTTTGTGTATGGCACCCTGTTAGACACTAAACAGTCCGTACTATCTTAAACGTTCACTCTTCATCGCCCTTTGAATGGAAAGCGAAATCAGAGAATATTGCGGCAATCTGTATTGACGTTTGATGCGAGCATGCGAGCAACTGATGTTTCCTGCTCTATTGGTTTAAAACCGCTTCTGACTCAATATTTTGGTAAAACATTCGGTCTGTCAATCATCCGATTTGGATGTGATATAATTTGAAGGAGACCGCCGGCTCTTAGGAGCTATCTGTGCATCCAGGAAAGCTTCCTGAGCCCGTGGGTTCAGTGCGGTGCGAATATTCACAAATATGGACGCTTAGAGCAAGCCCATATAGAATTGGTTTTCGTTTCAAATGGGACGCGTGAGACGAAGTCTTACATAAGTGGCTATCCAGTGCGGTTGATAAATTCTTCGACACAGCGAAGGTTCGTGTGTTACTCAGATTCAAGTCAGTTGTACGTGTACCGTTAAAATTTGAAACATCAGATTCTGCCGTCTTACTCTTTATATATAATCATTTACTTGTCTGTTTGGGACGACATAGACCTTCCTGAATAGTTCGTTCGTTAGCTCGTGCACTTCATCCTTAGTAGCTAAACACTGGCACAATCAAATCACTTATTGGTTCAGTGATTTTGCCTCTAGCTGCAATAAATGCTACTACTACTGCTTCAACTGTTGCTACTACTACTACTACTACTACTACTACTACTACTACTAATGATAATGCCTTTAATACTATGACTAGTACTACTTTTACTACTACTAATGCAACTGCTGTTGTGAGGTAGTACGCGAAAAGATGCGATCAGTGGTTTCTTTCAACGACTAAAAATCAACAAGACCTGTTGGAGCAAACTGCTGGTGTTCGGTATGGTGAATACAAAAATGCGCATCTAACATTGAATTGTTACATCAACTATCTTGTGTACGTATGGGAATTCTGCAACCTTGTTCCAAATGAGATATTTTTTTGTATGAATGACAATTTAACTATATGTCAAACGGTATTGATGGTGAATAGCTGTCGTTGCCCGGCATCGTCGCTTGGAATCATAACATTACTATTGGCGGCAGGAATACATTATGCACTAATGTTAGTGGTGAGGGTGGTAATATACAAGGTGAATGTGTCATACATCTACATAACAACAAATAAAACACCATCACGATGTAATATGCGTTGCATTGTCCACCCTTCCCTGGGACAACCTTCTCTCTCGCAGTTCCACCAAGAGCATCTCATGTATGACGGACCCTGTACCTATCGCATCGCATGCTAAAGGTACCCTGACGAGAATTGTCACGCGTTCCGTCGGTCTCACCGTATCGCCTCGAGTGCAGCATGCCAGTGTGCAAACTTCGGTTCCGGATGTACATCATTTGACCGATCATGATGCCGGCTATGTACCACTGAAAATATCCCATCACTCCAAGAAGGTAGGTACTTTTGAAAAACAAAAGAAGATATTTCAACAAATTTTTCATTTCTCTGGCCACATGTACCCGGGAATCGATTTATCTGCCCGACGAATAAGTTATTCGTCTACAATGATTGTCGAGGATGAAGCAAATCCCGGTGACCGATCGGAATTGTGTACTGATAGTCGCAGATTTCATTCAGTTGAATAAGATAGCTTTGTCAAGTTTGATCCCAATAGGTATTTGCATATTGTTGCTGATAGAGAGAAACACAAATGATATTTGTTTGTTTTGTGTGTGTTCTCCGAGCTGAACGTGTTGTGGACAGACGTTTGGTAGCCAGGCTAGGCAACATTATCAGTGCAACGTCTGCGAACAACCCATCCAGCTCAGAGAACACACCACAAACAACACTAATTGCATACCGAGCTGCGATTATTCCACATTACATCCAGCAAATGATATTCCTCACGAAAGGCTCCCCAAATATTTAGTTGCTAAGTAACTGTGAATAATCATGATTATGTATATATAACCCCCACTAAATACACACTTTGGTTGAACTAAGTGAATTTCCGTGTACATATTTCTGTGTACATATAACCACCGGTGTGGAAAAATACGAGGGTATCACACTGTCAAAATGTTTAAAAACATGAAACTGAACCAATTGCTCGAAATAACCCTTTTTAAATGAATTTTTTTCGCCATGTTATGGGGTATATAAAAACTGTTTTCTGTTGGGCTATAGCTGGACCATCGGAAGAACATCCTCCGGCTAATGCTGTTGCTAGCGCTTACATAACCGCATACCAAGTTTTTGAATGACCGCCAAGACGCTCAACAGTGATAAACAGCAAGCATGCGCATTACTTGTCTGAGTCAGTAGAGGTGATATAGTTGAATCAGCTAGATTAGGATACGACCTTCATTATTACTCACTTGCTTCACAGTTGTTAATCATCGAATACCACCAGTTGTTGAGAATCACCAACAACATATACATGGGGCAGATAGAGCAACTAAGAAGCAGTGCACTACTAATCACGTCATTATTCATCCATTCCTTTTGAAAGAAGCAAGCGTTTTGGCCACTCCACAGATGTCTCAGAGTGAACAATCATCGTTGTCTATCGGTATGAACACCGAGAAAACAAACTACTACGATCAACAACAGAGCTTGTAGGGACATATTTGTTCCAGGTTTAAAGAAGCACTTTGCAATTCACTGGAGCAAATCACGTTCATCACCAAGCCCTTCATCATGCGCGTTACACGGCTGATATGCTTTCATCGAACAGGGCACAGGCGTTCCGGTACTAGCAATTACAAAATAGATCCTTCACAGATTGCATTGTCTGAGGCATGCATGCATTGCGTACGAATCCACGAGAAAAGATTCAGAGATACAGTTTCGGTCCTCTTGGTGTACAAATACCATTTATTCCCACTAGAAACTTCCAGCTATATGCATCCCTTTATTCTGCCATTTACTTGTTTTTATGTCGTGTTTTCCTTGTTCGTTCGTAATTTTGTGCTTCGCAGATTCAAACGTGCCTAAATGCATTGATTTTTGAATGATGAGGACGCTACTGATAACTCTACCTTTTAATTCAATTTATCGCATTTATATGTACACTTAGGTCCACAAATGTGCAAGCGCGATTGGTGCTCCCAAAGACATTTTGGATGCCATTTTGGGCCCTCTGTCTGAACCGGCACAGTCCCATTCTCTTGTGGCTTCGGTTAATGAGGTGGACAGGGAGAGTGTACAAATCACGGAAACCGATAGTTGGCAGTGGCATTCAAATCCGGAAACACCGGACCCGCCCGATTTCATCAGTTCCACGCCTTCCCTGTGTCGGCGAGATCCAATGGACCAAAGCAGACCCGCAGGTTCAGGTGATGTGCATGTTCAAGGTAGGGCTGTTTTGATAGTTTGGAATTTTCATTTTTTCACCCGAATTGGGATGCGTTGAATCATCAGACATGTAATCTTCTTACTCATTACCTTCTCGTGGCGGAGGTATTTTTGCGCGAAAGTAAGAGGACGAAAAGCCGACATCCGGGACTATAACCGGATTAGTGGATCACTGGCAGTTCACCTAGGGGAGTTGGCCAAAAACCCTGATTCTAAACCAACCAAGAAGTGGAGGCGTACGAACCACACTCACCCACATCTTTCCGGTTGTGGCAGCGGCCATCGGCTTGATCGGGCATTAGGGTGTATTGGGCACCCCGTCCGAAAGGCATATGTTCCGATGATCTGGACACCGACCCCAATGGCTTGCGGTTTTCACACAGCACCCCACTGTCTTGTGGCTCAGGCTTTGGTTAGCCGAAGGCTCCGGTTATGGATTCCCCAAGAAAATTCACTTGCCTTTGCCTGGGCAACCTGGCAGTATTTAGCCCACATGCAAAATCGTGGAACGTTTTTCTTTTTATAAAGATTATTGTACCGCGATTTGTTTGGCGCAGTCTAAACTCAGACTTGTGTGAAATATAATAGTAATAATCTTCCGGTGGGTAACCATTTGAACATCAGTTTTCAGGATGGTATTAAAGGCAGTGAGAAGTAAACTAGTCGGGGTTTGAGTCCTGATTATGGACCACTGGTCTACGGATGATTGTGACATGACATTTTTGCATTACATCGTAACTGCTCGATTCACAGCCAACTAAACGATTTACTCCGGTCGATATCAGACGATCCTTATCACTATACCTGAGGCTACATTTATTATATTGGAAAGGTCGTATTCAATCATTTTAAGATATCATGTTTACTTCAATCTGTGCGGTGTCACTCACTGCGCGTTTGTTTATAGTCCAAACCATAACAGCGCGATGAACACATTAAGCAATAAAATTTTATTTCAACGGTCACCTAAGAGTACTTGACAGCCATTTTGTCCTTTCTGGGACCTGCCAAACCGTGTGTTTATTCCGTGTTCTTACCGAGTTCATGTCCACAAGTGTTTCGCGAGATCAGCGGTAAGGGGTTTCCGCGCACACATGAATATGGGCTTATCAAATGTGTGGTCAGTCTTGTTTAGGTAAATTGTATTCCCATGTAAATAATACATCCGTGACCCCATGTGTAGGTTATTTTAATGTTCATCTCTCAACTCACAGACGACCCCGTATCTCGAAGACCCGGGGCACTATTCCACGAAACAGTCAGTCGCTATTTAGAACAGACTGCTCCACAAGTGCGCGCCGCTCGGGTTTGGCTTCACGATCCTATTGTGAAGGATTTGTACGAAAGACGTGATCGATGTCTGATTGATATGAAGTGAGTTCACTGGACTAGTGCACAAATTTTTATGGCATACCGTTTGCACTGTATTTCGTTTCCGAGTTGGATATACTAGCAGATGTTTCTGTGAACTGTTGATAGACATACTTTGAGGGTTGGAAAACTTTCGATCCGGAAATCAATAAACGTTAGACAATAAAAACGTGAAGGCACTCGGTCTGTTTTTCTTCTGCATTTGGGATTCGCGTTCGGTTGAGAATAAGCAGGCCAAATGAAAACGTTTCCGGATACGCAGTCAGTACACGACGAGTTCGTGGTGCAGATGACCGGGCAGGAAAACGTGAACTGTAGTATACTATGGTGAATATATTTTAGGGATTGCAACTCACACAGAATCAAATGTCACAACACAGCCGAGCGCAGATTGCAAGTCACAAGAGTAGCTATAATCGGACTGTAAGGATGGAACTCAGTCGATGTCACTGTAGGGTGATGATTTTGTACAACTACAAATGTGGTTTAAAGTAGTAGCAAAAGAATGTTGATCGTTTTGTGAGCTGCTTTTGGTGGTGATACGCCTTCAAGAAGCTTTGTGCTCCCAAATGTCATGTGCATGATGCGTGAAATCCGATACAAGTCACCGACAGCTGCAGTGGAGGCCTTCAGTGTACTGGTCGAAGGGTTGCTCGTTTGAAAATAGTCAAGCTGATTCACTAAATGGTTTATAAGCACATGGAACTATGTGCATGAACAATGGTTAAGAATACTTCGAGAAAATGTAACGCTCATTTTAGTGTAACAAATAGAACCTTTCGCGCATCCGGAAACGTTTTGATCAGCCCTCGTAGTAATGAATTGAAGGTACGGCATGGGAGGAACTTGGATTCATCACGGTCCATCCAAGATATATAACTTCAATGCGAGGTAAATGAGCAATCAGAGTGTGGACCGCCGGAGCGAAGCCTTGATTTCTAGTCTGATCTTTTTTTTATTACACACTTGTGTGATAGACAGCGAATGGGAGTAAACTGCATGGTCATGGTAACCGGTAAGTTAAGTCCCGGATCTTGGAGTGGAGAACCATATAATGACCCAATTAGGTTAGTTATGGTATTTAGTTGAACGGCTGCTAAGCTGCCCACCACAAGATCAGCTGTTCCGGAATGTTTGGTGTTTTTGTTGTATAGCAATCGAAATTCGTGGACGAATTCGCCAGAACGATAGGTTATAGCAAACATGGCTACATGTTAGTGCCAGTTGACACAAAGTTTTCAAGATCTAGCCCATGTGTTTGCGCATTGCCCCAGCGGTCTGTGTAAATGCGTCCTTTATATGATCACCCGCGCTGCATTCTAGCTGGGCCCACCGGGTTCGCTATACGTAACATATTCTATACATAATTTTGATGCCATTTTATCTTTTATGCTTACTTGCGTGACTTACGAATTTCAACCCCCCGGTGATTCGATTCCATGCGGTGGTTTCCTTTCTGTAGATCCTTGATTCAAGAAATTTACCAACGTGAAATGAAGCTATTAGAAAATGCCCGAGGCTCCAAGGAAACACAGTGAATGCATTAGACGGGAACGGATCATTGGAAAGCAACAAATGGACGGGTTCCTCGTCGATTCAAATTGTGATCATATTTGTACACATTTCAATGTGCTCTTTCCCCGTGACTGCCATTTCTCGGTACAGTTTCACACTGAATTGTGTGCTTCGAATGTGAATAAATTTGACTTTTATCCATTTCTTTCGTTGTTGTTATTATTTTCCCTCGCCGTGAGTTTTCAACAATCGGACCGAGGATAGCGGAATCAGAAGGACAAAACGATCGTTTTTCTTTATTCGACCCGATGATGAGGTTAAATCATTTCAACTACAAATACGATAATAAAAAATACGCTTCTAATTTAACATTTCCGATAGCTTTAACACCACCAGATATTGAACTGCCTCACCTATGAGGAAAAATTACGATCATTGGGAATATATGCTGCTCAGTATCACCGAATTTGAAGAAACTTGATCTTGACGTATCACATACTGAAGAACCCCATACCACCCATGTCGGCCGTTGCTCACGTTGTCGCACAACCCACACCCACATTTCACATTTCTGCACAACTAAAAAGCTCAAATTAGTTGAAGACTACATTGTGTTCTTATCTACCTGGAACTCTGTGTGACATTTTGTCATTGTTTTGCTGAGAAACGATTCAACTGTGCTAATATCCTATGGGGATACGAGAAGAATGATCTTGTAAGTAATTCTCATAATCAAACTTTGAGATGGTTAATCACTACAACTAATGAACCAATCCATAATACTCTTGCAATGTATCATCTTCGATAGCTTCAACATGTATTCTCATTGGGTCTGGGCTATTAAGCGTGTTTCACTCGTTTCCCGACCATAACTGAAAAGAGGATTTCTATCGTACATTCGGTGTTTAACCTTGAAGGCCTTAGCCGTGACGTTCGTATTCTTCATCCAGTCCATCGGCAGAGTTTCGTTTGACGCGACGAAGTAACACGGTTCACAAGTACAACCATTGGGTCGCATAGTGCGATGTGACCACAAGGCCTACCCGTGCTGTTTATTCCAGTTTGAGTTGCGTACACCGCAGGCGTCGTTGGATCCGAGTCTAGGCTTCTTATCAGCAAACTTTTCTCGGGCACCCCATACTTCGAGAGGTGCGTATTGCATTCGATTTTCTTCGTTGTTGATAGGATGTGTGTAGTCGTAATCTTTCCCTCTTGCACGGTATGCATCATACCTTAAAGGACCGGATTAGGAGAACCACATGCTTCAAATTATGTAGCTATGCTGTCGACTTCAGACAGCTTACGGCAGATTTAACAATCCAGCACGCTCCTCTCTTGGGTGATATGGTTTGCCATTTTTTCAACGGCCTCCATAACTTGGATTGACCGTCGATCAGATCGTATCTTTATGCAGAGTCCTAGGTTCATTCATTCAACCATGGATTGAGAAAGCCCTAGAATCGAGTTTCGCTTCTGTTTGAGCTCATCAGTGTTACATGTCCATCGTCTTGCTCGAGCCTTGAACTCCGAACCCATGGCACAGAAGGCGTTTGTGTTAGTAGTAGTTAGTAGTTAGTAGCACGACACTAACCTCTTTTCTACCATCACTAACTGGTGTACTACTCACATAATCTCTGCAGCCATCTACTATTGAAGTGCACTCTAATCCATTTTAATTGTGAATAGGGACCAACTAATTAGTAAACAATTAACGGCTTTAAATAGGGACACCCGGGTTAACCAGTGACCTGACACAAAAAGAGGGACATCAACTCTTAGACAGTATTGTTTTATTGTGTCCTATTGTTGATAAACGTCACTTAGCTCTTCATTGTCAATCATCGTCCGATTTTACATATATAAGTCTACTGAGTGGCACGTTCTCTTTCGATCGCAGATCAGATCAGATCAGATTAGTAGTCACTCTGATTTTCTATTCGATTAATTTGGAAAAAATGAATTTTCTGTATATGATCACAGTGATTTGGATTGTGACAATATGTGAGTTATCCACCATTGTTTTTATAACAGGTAGTTGATGGACTTACTCTGTCCGTTTCCTTGTGTTTGTGTGTCCAACTAGGAAAGAAAGAGGTCTAAATTACCTTTTGTTATTTTTACGGGATTTAACCATCGCGGGCGGTCTACGCTGTTACTTCAGATGAACTGGTTGCAGATCGGCAAGGAATCAATTAAATGTAAATAAATCACTCGATAATTTTGCTTCAATTTTATTATCAATTATTTGTTAACATTTCCGTGTGATAGAAGACGGGCGAGAAACATGAACGCGCATGAAAAGTAAGGTTGATGCGTAAAGCTTATGGGTGAAAGCTGTGGGGGAAATGAAAACTGACTACTCACAAGTAGTCAGTAAATACAGTTATATATAATAAAGTATATCCACTGTCCTATCAGAGAAGTTTGAAACCGGCAAAGATAGGTCAGACCAGTAAAGTACTCAATCGAACATGTAGACACAACACAGCGTGATAATCTGTAGCGTAAGTCCTCATGCACTTATTGTGACGGTTGGCTCAGACTTCAGAAAATATTATTTTGGTATCGCCAAAGCACAGCTGGATTTTAGATTTTCGTCAGAAAGTGGATTGGCGTAACGCTACCAAACTTCGACTTCCACACACACATAAGTTTGAGTTCGAGCACAAGCAATATTCATTCTCACACACTGATCTCTATTTTCCGCTTCGTAGGATGCTTCGGATTATACCCTCCCACAATTACTCTCTTTTGAAGTCTGTAGACAAAGAACTATGAGTATAGTGGTGGATATGAATAGTTCGGAGTAGACAAATACCATTTTCGTTTTCGTTCAACCACAACGTTTGATCTGGAGTCCGAGGGAACCTTTGGTTTTTTCTCATTTAACTTCAGTAGTGGTGTGAGATAATTTATATTGATTGATTTGAACTAGGTATCCTTTGGACTTCACCTTCGCGCACAACCATCGGTTCATGGATTCAACCATACACTCAGAAGCATTAAACTCGAGTTTTGCTCCTATTGGAGCTCATCAGTAATTCATACTCACTATCCCGCCCGAGATTTGAACTCCGAACCCATCGGGCATGGAAGGCGTGTGCGTTAGCACTGTGCCAACCAGCTCATGCTCTATCTGAACCAAATTACCAATTCATGTATGTTCAGATGTCGTCTTCAGTGATAGTCATTTAATATGCACCACTGATGAGTTCTAATAAGAGCGAAGCTCGTGTTTAGTGCTTCCGAGTTTATGGTTGAATCGATGAACTGAGGATTGTGCGTGGAGGTGAAGTCCGAAGGATAGTCAGTGTCAAACCAATCATTCGGGTTTTGTTCATTAGGTGCCCTGTAACTTACCGGGCTCGTTTCTATCACCTAATTAGTAGTCATATTTGACGCCGAGGCTAACCCCTTCGAGTATTTCCGCAACTAAGACCATATAGTTTGTAGGGTCAATAAAACGAACGAGAGATAAAATTATCAAACTGTAACAATGATGAACCAGAATACTCATTCATGTACATGGCAGGCACGGTCACGGAAAATTCGTGAAGCATACATTTTATGTATAGCATTCATCAAATCACGATTCCGAGAAATCGCTAACCGTCATATTTTGCGATTTTACGTGACACAACTTTGTGCCAAGAATCTATCTTCAAATAAGGACTCTCACGAACCCACTGTTTTATGGAACCCTTTTCAGCGGCCTTTCCGGTCGACGCGGTATCATGCTATCACTGCACACCTTGCTCGAACTTCGTCGCGACTGCGGACAGATTGATGACTGGATGCAACTATTGTATAGTGAGTGGACAAGCCATTCGTAGATTATCCATTTGGCGGTTGATGTAGACTGAAAGCACATCGACAAGTTCCACTCACACAAACACACTTCATCGATTGTTTGCATTTCAGTGTTGCCCATTGTCATCAACGTATACCACGTATTGCATACCACAGCTACTAGTGAAGGAGTAAATCGTATGAGGAATTAGAACACGCATAGTGTATTGAGGTTTGAACACCTTGTGTGCAGAACAATGATCCGATGATGTTTATTCACAAACCTCCTCAAAATGTGTTACTCTCTAAATAGGTGATCATTCAAGCAGATGATATTAAATAACGATTTGTTCTTATTGGTTCTCAGTCAGAAAACTTGTATTCTTGCAGCTTAATTGACGACGTTTATTGATGGATTCATTTTTACTACCACGTGCCTGTTCCTGTAGGCCAAAGTTAACGATTTTCTCGTTCAGAAATCTTAAAGTATCTTAAAGGTTTCGTTCAATAACTTTAACGAATCTGAAACCCGGACGGAACTAGTAACAACTACCATCAGTTTGGATCCATACACAAATGATGAGTTTCAACGATCGTCCGTTTCTAACATATTTAACTTATTTTTAAACTATTAGATTTATGTCTTATATTCTACTGCTTTTCATCGCTCCATTTCGTGGTCCATCAACATTTGGTTATTTGAAAACCAAAGTAATTTTGTCCACTGCTGAATGTTGTAGAGTTTTCGCAGGAGAACAAAATATTTGGCGAAGCAGATTTATTACCATAGTCTGTGGATGAAAGAGTTTGTGGCCTTTTGCCAGTGCTGCTCATGCACCCCTGTGAGAATCCACTTATCTCTCCTTCCTCTGCTTTGTTCCTATTTTCCAGAATTAAAACATGGTGTTTATGTGGCCGTAGAGCTGCTGAGTAAAACAGATCTAAGATTTCTAGAAGCCTCTTTGTTTAAGTTCTCATGAACAAGGGAGTATCATACAAGCTGGTTGAAGCAAAGAATGATGAATACTACTCATCACGCATAAAATTCTACTCTTTTGTATTAGTTTTTACTGTGAAGGCATCTACACCTTTTCCCATCAAGCTTTAGCCAAAACCCGCAATGCTTTAGCCACGGCCCGGCAGTCCTTTAGCCTCGACGCACAACCTTTGGTCACACCGCTGTAGGTGAGTCAGAACAAAAACTATCGGTATATTCTGAGGTCAACGAATGTTGAAAAAATTTATATTTACAAATTTTCATATTGCAAAGCTTGACTAATAAATGAGAAGGTG